AAAAAGTATATTTGAAAGATAATTAAACTAATAAGGATTATTAACTAAAAATAAAAAGTATTAATATTTTTATACTTGTATATTCTAGTATTTTTAATATTAATAAGAAAATAAAATACTATATCCAAATTAAATATCTTCAATTAAAAATTAAAATATCTAATTCAAAAAAAATTATTTTGTCTTTTCAAAGTTTAAAAATTCAATAAACAAATAATTAAAAATTCAATTTTAAATAAATTAATATTTAACTTCTTGATCTTGTTCAAGATTTATGAAAAATAACTTGAATAACAAGATTTGAAGTTTAATTAAACAAATTATTTTAGCTAGATAACTCTTTAATAAAATAAAGATGAAGGATAAATATTAATAATATAATAACAAAATACAATTAATCAACTTGTTAAAATAAAATTAAAATTTATTAATTTGTTCAAAGTATCAAAATATAAGAGAATATTGTTATATTAGTAACATAAAAATCATTAATTTCAAAAATAGTTGAAAAATATAAAATATTCATATAATAACAAAGATTTCTCAAATTATTTTACTTTTTTATCTTTTATTTTTTTTATTTTTTATTTTATCTTTTACCTTTTATTTTACCTTTTATTTTACTTTTTATCCTTTTATTTTACTTTTTACTTTTTATCTTTTATCTTATCTTTTATTTTATTTTTTACTTTTATAATATCTTTTCAATTAGTGATTTTATTTCTTAAATAGTTATTGTTATTTGAAATTATATTTTCAAAAAATGTATAAAGATGCTATCTGAATTTTAACTCAATATATTATAACTAAAAATAAAATTCTCTCTTAATAAAAATCTTCCAAATATCACTCATTTTTCATATTTTCTTTATACACTTCAAATCTTGTATATAAGTGATCTTTTATCATATTGTATTTAACAAATTATTAATGATTTATATTATATTGCATTGAGTAAATTACTATTATTGACTTTGAGCTTTATATCATATTGTGCTAAACAAATTATTGTTATTAATTTTAAACTTTATATTATTATATAATGACTTTTTGTTATAACATTTCATATTATTGGATTATACATATTTCATATCTTATTGGATAAAAGTCAAATCATGTGAAGTGAACAAACAAGTAAGCTAACAAGTAAACAAGTGAATGAATAAATGAATAACTAAATAAACAAGTAAATAAACAAGCAAACAAATAAGCGAACACTAAAATCAATAGAATTAGTGAATATGAATTTATATAGCTGACAAAATATAATTTGAACATATATAAAAGCAACATGTATCATAGTTATTAGAATTAAATATAAACAAGTTCTTTTAGATAATAATTCTTAATTATTATATCTAATTAATTATCATAAAGTTTTGATTATTCAAAGAAGTAAAGTTTGTATTTTATGTAGAGTAGGTAGTCAAGCACAAATTTTTCTCTACATCCTTTTGACAAAGTATTTATTTTTTTGTGTAGTAGCTAAGGTTGCTTGCTGAAATTTCTTAGTAACTATCTAAATTCTGTTGAAGTTATAATAAAATATTAGTAAATAACCTGTCAAAATTCTGACAAATTTTGAAACCTGTTATAATTGAAATTATATTGAAATTCTAATTAACAATTAGTGTATAATCCATTGAAATTATGCTAATATTTTTCTGAAAGAATTTAGGCAAGCATCCTTAGTAGTAACTTTAACATATTACTATAAGAAATTATACAAATTTTGAATCAATATATTATAGTAGCTTAAGCATATTGTCAAAAACACTATAAAAGTTATTATCTTTATCCTAGACTCCCTGAACATGTTGTAATAAAGCTTATTGAACATTATATTAAATAAAGGAATTATTATTATAATTCATAAACTTATCTTTGACTTTGTATTATTAATAATACATTATTCATATATTTATCTTCAATCTTGTATTATTGATAATACAAATATCATAATCTCTATAACTTTGACTTTGAGATTTTGAGAACTCTCTTTAGCAGTTTAGTTATTACGTTAAAAGAATATAATTATTATCAATCTTTAAGTAATTCTTATAAGTATTTATTGTACTTTAACTTGTATTCAGTCTAAAGTCATAAAGTATTATTAAAATTGTGAATTGTTATTAAGATATTTGAGTTTTTTCTTTGAATATCATAAATACTCTTGAATATTTCAAATGATAACAATATCATATTATATCAAACAAATTATTATTAAGCTTTATATCATATTGTACTGAACAAATTACTATATTGAAATTATCAAAATTGAATATTAAGTATTTTAATTTTTATTATTTGAATTTTTGATTATTAACAAATATTTTTCATCATACAGAGATCTCCCAGAATATTGTAAACACTTTTTAAAATACAATAACACAAAAACTAATAAAAAAGCAAGATTTATGATTCTAAGCTAATAGAATTATTGAAACATGTTGTATATTATATCAAAATTTTAAGTGATTATAATAACTAATTCAAAAAATATATATAAATATATATAAAATAAAATTTAGCATCAAACTGAAATTTATATAAAAAAAATATTATTTTATAAAAATGCAAATAACTTCACATCTAGTAAATCAAATTAAATAAAATTTTATTCACAAATTCTTTAAGATATGGCACATCTAATGATATTAAAATTATTCAATTTGGATTACTAGATATGGAGATATCACGTCTCAAAGATAACGTACCAAACTGAAATAAATTTTTTGAAGAAAATAGTTTTTTGTAAATATCTTCACATCTAATTAACCAAATTAGATGATTTTGATATTATCAGATTCACCTTGTTTATGTAAATCTAGTGATATCAAAATCATCCAATTTGGTCTACTGGATGCAGAGATATTTACAAAAATGGTTTTCTTTAAAATTTTCTTTAAATATTTTTTTACCCTGATTTTTGTACAGTATTTTTGAGATATTATATCTCTGTATCTAGTAATTTAAATTATATGATTTTGACATTATTAGATGCATCTTAACTTGGTGAATCTGGTAATATAAAATTATTTAATTTGGTTTACTGGATATGAAGATATTAGTATATTTATAAAATAGAATAATTTTTTTCACATAAATTTTCGGTTTGATATTAAATTATATTTTTTATATTTATATATATTTTTTGAACTAGTTATTAAAATTACTTGCAATTTTGATATAATATACAATAAGTTTCAATGATTCTATTAGCTTAGAATCATAAATCTTGCTTTTTTATTAGTTTTTGCATTATTGTATTTTAAAAAGTGTCCACAATATTCTGGGAGATCTCTGTATGTTCTTAACATAATAATTATAAATAATTTTAATAGAAACTAACTTGAATTAACAAGCTTTAATATTTGATTCCAATTTATTTTAGTTAATTATTTTGAATTAGATTCAAAAATCAAGAATAAATATAGCATTCAATATAATAATTAATATTATAAATTAGATTATATTTATTAAAATTGAAAAAATACAGAAAGAGTGTATTGAAATAGCACTTATATTTATATAAAAATTTCATTTTCTAGCTATAGATATTATTTTTATATAAAATTTGTTAATATAAAATAAGAGTTTTCACCAGATCAAATTGATTTATATTAAAATTTATTATATATTATAAAATAATAAAAAGTATTATACATGTACTGAATAAAGATAAAAAAGTAGTATTTATTAAGAAATAAAAATTTACTTAGTGATAATTAAATTATTTTTATTTTTGTGTTTATTAAATTTTATCATAAATTTATATAACTTTTTAATATTTATTATTAATATATATTATCTTATATCAATTTGTAGTTCATATTATTTTGCTTAAAATTATAGTTTATAGCTACTATTAAAAAATTAATATTTACTAAAATATAAATAAAGTTAATTAAAATCATAAATAATTAAAAATATTTTTTAAACCTATATAATTTTTTGAATATTTATTTTAAATATTAATTATTTTATATCAATTTGTAGCTTTAGTTATGATCTACAACTTTAATTAAATAATTACTTGAACTTTTGATCAGATTTGAGTCAGGTTCGAGATTTGAACCAAACTCAAACCAGATTTTTAATTGAATTTAAAGTTTTAAACCAGACTTTTTTTCAAAATTTTATAAAAAATAAATAAGTAAAAAAATAAATAAATAAATAAATAGAAAAATAAATGATAATAAAATAAGTTAATAATATAAAAAGTAGAAAAATATAAAATAAAAGTAATACAAATAGAAAAATTAAAATAGAAAAATAGGTAAATATAATAATTAATAATATATAATATAATTAAAAAGATATTTTAAATTCTTTGTATGATTTTTATAATATCATAATTTGTTACAAATTATAAAATTAACAATTTTTATAATATAATTGTAATAATAATAATCAAGTATTATAAAAATCAAAAATTTTTGTTTGTATAATCTTACAATTTTTATTTTTATATTAAAATAAAAATTTTTATAAATATAATTTAAAATGTTTTGTGAAATATAATTTTTAATTTTTATTATATTTTAATAATAAATTTTGATAATGATATATTATATATAAAAAATGATTTTTTTAAAATATATAAAGAATTAATTATTATATTTTGTTTGAAAGCTTAAGTTTTTTTTTCTTTATTTGATTTCAAGAAATATACTTGTTGCTTTGTTGAATTTATTATATTGTTAATATGATATTTGGAACTACATCAAAGTCGAGCTATTTTTTTCAAATTAAGCTAAGATTGAAAAAGTAGAAATTGAATCTTTTACCAGTTTTATTACAAAATTTTGTACAAGGTTCATAAAATCTCGGCTTATCGAATACATTCTAATAGTGCTAGTTGTATCACTAATCTATATAGAAAAGCTTTTAAATATCATATCAAGTGAAATAATAATTTAATGGTTTGGAAAACTCAAATATTGCAAAAATCATTATATCGAGTCCCAACTGTTATTTAATTTCATTTCCAACCTCATTTATTCCAATGGAATACCTTCATATTCATCGTATCCAAGGGCAAGGTTAATATTCTATTTAGATTGATGAAAATTTGTGAGTAATCAATTTACGGGAAACATCGAAAGAAAAAAAATTTTCTCACCTGTAAAGCCTGAGTTGCTGCACCCTTTAAAAGATTGTCTATGGTAGCAATAACGACCACTCGTTTTCCAGATGAGTGCACTCCAAAACCTCCAATTTTTACAAAATGTTTTTGCGCATTATCTCTTACAAGCGGAACATCGGACACAATTTTGACCAATTTTTCATTGGCATATTTTTCCTCGTATATTTCCCGGATTTCCGAAGACTTGAACGTTCTAGAAAGGGGAATATTAACAGTTAACGCAATTCCCTGAAAATATGAAGCTACATGAGGGATGAAATTAACAGTCTGATTAAGCTGATGAGAGATTTCTCGTTCGTGTATATGGTCGGTTAAGGAGTAAGGAATTAGATTGTCTTTGAGAAATGCGGGATCATTTTTGGGGGATGGTTTTGTTCCAGCACCGGAATATCCGGATGCACCAAATACAGTTGGTTCTTGGGATATGAATGGCAATAATGGAGCAATTGCTAGTTGAGATCCTGTCGCGTAACACCCGGGATTAGATATACGTGTAGCTTTTCGAATTGCTTCACGGTCAGATAGTTCTGATTTAAAAAGAAATAAACAGATAAGTAATGATTTTATAATAATATGTGGATAATAAAAATAAGTATTTATTACCAGGTAGACCATAAGTCCAAGTATCAGTAAATCGATAATCAGCACTTAAATCTACAATTAAACTCTGATCAACCTCAGCATCATCAATTGCCTGCACAAATGGTGCACACACACCATTCGGCAATGCCATTACCCAACAATCAACTTCCTTATTCTTCTGCATTTCTTTCATCTGGTCTGCTTTCAAGTTTACATATGTAATATTATTTTTGGTATAACCTTCTAATTTTTTCCCCTCTAATTCTCGAGATGAAACATGAGACAAAGACAAATGAGGATGGCTATTAATTAGTGCAATAAGATTTTGACCAGTGTATCCTCGGGCCCCTATCAAGGCAACCTTAACTGATCGAGGTGAGGAGGGACTAAATGAAGAATATTCTCGATGTGAAAATTTCTTATCAGCAAAAGTGGAATATGAACGAGTTCCTGAAGGAAGAGAACCAGAACTTGTACGCTTTTCATCTTTATTGGTAGTTGATTGGGTTTTGACAAATTCTGTAATAATATTTGAGATTTCATCAAGATTATCAATGCCATACCAAAAGATCGTTTTGTCTCCCGATTTATAACTTCCTTCTGATTTATTAAAATGCCATGCTAAGTTTTCATCATGCGCGCTTACAGTCCAACTTAATCGAGGATAATCGGTTCTAATCATAGTCCAGACATTATCTGTGACGTTATTAAGCACTCCGTTCTTTGTAGCTACAAACTTATCAAGAACAGGAACCCCACTAGGATTATTCTGACTTTCAGAAATAATGGCCAACACTTCAACTGGTTCATCGTTGTATATTGTATAGGGTTTTTTCGAAAGTTCCAGATAAGAAGAGTAAGAAGAGGCATCTGATGAACCAGATGCGATTATTGGATCTAATTGCAGTAAATCGTGTAGTTTTTTCTGGTCAAGCTCATTAATTGATTTATGTTTGAAGAGACGATATCCACGTCGTACTAATGTTCCCGAACCACTATCCGTAAAAAGTTCTTTGTGTAGCTCACCAGCAGATGTGATGGCTACGGAAGAAGTTCGAGGTAAATGATCAAGCAGTTCTTTTATTTCTTTAATTTTCAATCGTGTCCCGTATTTAACCCATGACTGTGCCATATATCCTTCGTATTCCTTTTTTATTTAAATGAAAAGATAAGAAATAATCGAGAAAGACAAGTAAAAAAAAAATAAAATAAACTTACTTCATCTAAATTAATCACATCAATTTTTTTATTCGTTTCACCATTAAATAATCCACCTTTTTCACTCAAATAAATAATTTTCAATGGTTCCATAACTCTGGCCAGTTCACCAGCAGCCACATCAGCATTAACGTTTAAAATTTGCCCTGATGGAGTTTCCGCCAAACTAGTCAAGATCGGCAACGTGCCAGCTTTAATACTGGCCTCAACAACGTTTTTCTGAACACCAGTAATCTCACCCACGAACCCATATTTCTCACGATCCAGATAATCGGCAATGAAAACACCATTAGGAATGGGACGTGCACGTGTTCCCGATTTTTCTAACGCTTCAACAAGTTTTAAATTTTCCTTGAGAAATACTCTACGAGCGATTTCCAACGTCTTTGGATCTGTTACACGAATTCCTTCTTTGTATTCAGGTACAACACCAGCTTCTTCCAATTCTTTATTTAGTTGTGGACCTGCCCCGTGCAGTACAATTGGATATAGACCGACTCTATTAAGAAAGGTTAATGAAGAAGTAAGAGTTTCTAATTCATCAGACAGGACTGCTCCGCCGACTTTTATCACGGCAAATTTTTGGGATTCGACTGATGCAAAGTGGCGCAAATAAACTTCTACTTCTTTGCGTGAAGCAATATTATACAAGAGTTTTACAATCGTTGCCTATGTTATTCGTTTATTATTAAAGATTAACGATTAAATGTTAATGCTTAAATGTTAATGCTTAAATACGAGTAGTGTCAAACTTAAGTAATAAAATGAAGAAATTACTTTTTCCCTTATTGCTGCCTCACTTCCATAAGACCGACTCGTTTGTCCATTTATAGAATACCGTTTTTTATTTAGTTGTAGTATATTACTTGCATGTCCTTTTCTCGACGTAGATAATGACGATAAAAAACGCGTCGAAACGGTTCGTCGACACAACGATGACTTTGTTAATCTATTTTTCCCGATTCTTGATATTAGCATTATATTAAATTATAATTTGTCTTAAAAGTGTTAGACCTCTAAACATAAGCGATAAGTAGCTAAAACCACCTGTCAATGCGAACTTTTGTACGAGAAATCGAATAGATTGATAAATTAAAGATAAATTCCAGATCTAAAAAATCAGTAACAACGGGTGGATCGTCATTGATCGCTAAACATTGTTACACAGATCAGTACATATTTTAAGATGATCTTTTGGTTGGGATCTGATCGAGATGAAGATATTACGCAATATAGATATAGACCTCAGTTTAATAACCATATTATATAAAATTATAAATCACATGATTATACCATATTAGGGTTAGTGAAATGTAAGATTTCTTATCAGATATTACGTAATATCCGTCAGTCCCCTAATCTTTAGATAAAATACTAGAGAAAATCCAAGATTCAGTAATCAAGTAACTTTACCGGAAACATTACCACCATTATTATTAGATACTTTAGCTTTTTTTGACGTTTTTCACTTGCTTTCTCCTACTATTATTAAGGACATCATCTGTAGCAATAGAAACATCCCCTTCCTGCTTCCCAATTAAGCTATACAACAATTTGATTTCCGATACCCAAGTATCATCACGTACCACCGGAGTTTCAAGAATCAACGGTAACTCATTCAAACGGTCATCATTCATTATCAAGCGAAAAGCCTCTAATCCCAAAAAACCTTTCCCAATATTTTCATGAAGGTCACGACAAGAGTGAAACTTTGCACGTGAGTCGTTCAAGTGCATGCCACGAAGATGATTGAATCCTACGTGTTGTGAAAACTCTGTCATTGCTTCTTCGTAGCCTTTTTTTGTTCGCAGATCATAGCCCTAAAAAATATTTAGAGAAAAAGGATTATGTCAATAAAAAACTTTTGCCTGGTGTCTCAAAGAAAATCGGTAAGAACTTACAGCAGCAAACGCGTGACAAGTATCAATGCATACTCCAACGCGATCTTTTTCTATTGTGAAAAGGTAATTTGAGATGGAAGAATGTTTAATTGCAGGTAATTATGAAATTGGAAACTCACTTTTTACTTTTGCAATGATTTTGCCCAAGTCTTCAAATTTATTACCAACTTTATTCCTTTCACCAGCCTGTTATTAATATCAATTGTATATGATTTCAAGAAATTCCTGAAAAAATAAATAGTGAAAGAAAGCAAATACCGTATTTTCAAGGACGCAGATAATGTTTTTAGTTTCAATGTGAGCTCGATTGATACAATCAGCAATATGTTGTATGGACTCATCCAAAGTACATTGACCCACTGATGAGCCTGGGCTTTACTAACCCGAAGACAAATCCCAAAGTTATTGTTAAATACTAGCATTAATTTATTTGTATAAAGAATGATTCATTAACTTACTGAAAATTATACATATAAAGACCCAACGCCTCGCATCTTTTCAACTCATCCAAAAAAGCATGATAGCTCTTTTCTCGCTTCGCTTCATCGGGATTTGCCAGATTAATCAAATAACTTCCATGTGGCAATATATATTTAGACGCATACGAATACTTTTGACAATCTGATTTGAATTGGGAAACTGATTCTGGGTCTAGAGGGCTTGAATTCCATCTACGCTGATTCTTGACAAAGATTGCAAGAGCATTTGCGCTGAAAATTGTCAAAAATCAATCTTAGTGAGTTGGCTAATCAGAAAGAAGAATATCAAATAAATATTCACCCGATCATTAATCCATTCTTAATAGCATTATGAACTCCACCGGCGGCGCTAACATGAGCTCCAATATATTTCGTCACGCCTTGTAGACGATTAGCCTGCATATCTGAGTAATCTGATTCAACTATTTGTTTGGATTCTCTTGTTCGCTTCTTAGGTTCACTTTCAGGGCCACTAATATTGGATTCTTCAACTTCCTGTGAATTTCTTTTTCGTTTTTTAGGTTCTGTTTGCGCAGAATTGCTTTTTTCTAAGTTAGTAGTATTATTATTGCTGTTATTATTATTATTATTATTATTATTATTATTATTATTATTATTATTGTTATTATTATTATTATTATTATTATTATTATTAATGTCAGGTTCTACTTTTGATTTTCTTTTTTGCGTTTTAGATTCTTCGTTCGAGTCAGTAATAGATTCTGCTTCTTGCATTTTATCGTATTTGTTCCTTATTTTTTTGGTATTCTTTTTATTGTTTACTGACTTGCCAACAACTTTATTATCACAGTCATTCTTAGTTTCTGTTTGTTGCTTTTCGCCTTTTTTACTTGCTATTCTTGCTGACATTTGGTAAAATTTTTCTTCCAAGTGGTTAGTCATATGTTCGCGATTTGACTCATTTCCAGACACATGATAGACACTAGATCATGTAATTCCGAGAACTAACAATGGAGGATTTTTTTCCACGAGATTTTCATTTTTCAATTTTTCCAACAAAAAACCTTTCATCACATCACGAAACAATCCTCGAGCAAATCGAATCTATTGAACGCAAGGCATTTCCCAAGAACGAAGTAATGCCGATAAAAGATGAGATCACGAAAAAAAGCAACACGATGTTAATTGCTTATTATTATGAAGAGCCTAATCAAAAGCTTAATAAACGCGAAAACAATAACATAACTCGAAAAAATTTATCAAGAAAACAACAAGCTAACAATAATAATATTAGAGAATCACAAAAAATAAAAATTGCTGGATACATAATATACTCACTTCTCTATTCTGCTCATTCATTACCAATAACGCGTATCATTAAACTTTGCATTCACACTTCGCTACGAAAAAAAGGATTAGGTACACGTTTATTGGAAATGTGTTTGGGAAGAACAGGCGTGCCAGAGAAAAGTCGCGCTGAGCTACATGTTGATGTGCAAAGAAAGGACGCGATAAATCTTTATCGTAAAGTCGGATTTGAAATTTATGGCGATCTACTTGAAAATTATTATGAAATTGGCAGGGATGCCTGGTTCATGGTGCTTGTAAAGTGACTCAATATCGATATACAGTCAAAGCTGATCATAACGATGCCTTTTTATGCTAACCACTCTAACCGCTTTTTAAAGTGATATATTCATTATAACGAAATTTTTCTTTATGGGTATATCGCTATAACCAGCTTTGACTAATAAAATTTACACAATTAGATAGATATGTACAACAATAAAAACGGAGATCATATATATTTTTTATTTATATTAAATTATTATAAATACGTCAAAAACTATTAATTAACTCAGACCAAACCAATTAGCAATGCGGTTCAGAACGCCTTTTGGTTCATCGTTATGAGTCTCGTCAATTTGTTCCGTCTCATTGGAAGCGTCTTCTAAGATGATATCCTCATCACGGAAAACACCTCCATTTTCCTCATCATCATCGTCTTCCTCCTCTTCCTCCTCTTCCTCCTCTTCGTCCTCTTCTTCTTCCTCGCCTGATTCCTCCGCCTCGTCGTCACCATCTGTAGCCTCGTCCTCTTCGTCATCTTCTTGCATGTCAACTTCTTGATCTGCTTCCTCACCATCTACGTATATTTTTTCTTTCGTAAAACATATTATGCGCGGCGATTCAAAACTCTGATATCGCTCGATCTTCCCAAGGAAATCTCGGCGATATGCGACTATTACTTCGATGAGACCGTTAAAATCAGTGCTACCATTAGCTTTGTATTCTTTTATGAGTTGTGCCACGTCATTGCGATATGTTTGTCGTAGATAAACATCGGTGCCTTCGACATATGAAGCCATATCGGCTATAATTTTCTCTTCTGAAAAAAGATAAAAAGTTAGTTACAAATCAAATACAAAAAATCTTCTAAGCAAAATGAATTAACGTACCAGTCATTGTTATATCTCTAAAATGTTGTGATTGACAATATTCATCGTTACATACGCCTCCTGGGAATGTTTCAAATACGCAAAACGGTTTTTGATGTTCAATATTATGACTAAAGGTGAGAGATTTATAGCCGTCTGAGACCATTTCCAAGTAATTTGGATGGAAGCGATAGGATCGGAATTGTCTCAATGGTGATTCATAAGTCTTGAAATGAGGATAATCAATCGTTTCTTGAGGCTGGAATTAAAGAAGCTCATTAATAATTTGAAACTTGTGTACATCAAGTTTTTAGGTAGTGAGATTCATTTGATAACTTACCTCATTTTTCTTTGACGCACTTTTTCCTTTGGCTACTACTTGAATTCGAGCTATATGTTGTGCTACCATCCGCCTATTCTCTTCCAGTAATTTATCGATTTCTTCTTTTTTCTTGACTAATTCAAGCACATCTTGGCTTTTGTTATCTGATTTCGTCTTGATTTTTTTGACAGGACTTGACTCTGCGGGATTATTATTCGAATGTAATTGAATTGCTTTCCTTTTTCCATTCGCATTTAGATTATTGTCTTTACTTTCGCTAAGAGTCTTTCTTAGATTTTTCTTGACTTGATTCACATGCTGGGTCAATTTTTCTCTTGTGTCTTTAATACTTTTTTTAAGATAGGTGAGCTTTTCGGAGATTTCTGATGCTCTTGACTCGTGATTTGTGGCAGAGACAGAAAGTTCATGTTTAGTTTCCACAGCATCAGCTTTATTCGTCTCTTCAATTAAAAGTTGAGCTTGAAGTTCCTTAAGCTTATTCTCAGTTGCAGTTATTATCGACTCTTGTTCTTTAATCTGTTCCTGTATCTCGATGAGTTTACTTTGATTTGACATATCTTCTTTTTCCGCTTCATCGAAAGTTTTTATTGCTGCATCCAAATCAGTTTTGAGTTTCAAGGCAGTATTATCGGAAGATATAATTAAGTTTTCAATGATCGTGGAAGAGTTGGCTATGACTGATGATGATGATGATGATGATGACGACGACGACGGTACCGGTGTCCCTTCATTAACTAAATTCTTTTGTGTATGTGTTTTGGAAATGGTTTTGACTCTAATCGGATTATTAGGTTCATTTGCAAAGAAAGATACGACATTCTGACTCCCAGGTGTTGAAGTTGTTGACTTTGAAGTAACTTGATTAGCAGAAGTTACTGTGGGCGTTTTTTGCTTAGCTCCAGAAGCTGGTGACTTTGATATAATTTTATATGAGTGAATTGGAGAGGAAGTTTTTCGGAAAGGTGCAGAAGATGACAATGATGACGTTGTTAATATAGGCTGATTCTCAGAAGTGGTTGCTATTGAAGATTTTTGGACTGAAGAGTATGTTGATGATTGCTTTGAGATGTTTTGATTCTCAGGAATTGTCAAGGAAATAGCTTTCTGAATAGAAGCAGCAGATGATGTTGAGACAATCGGATTATTAGGAATTAATATAGGTGTTTTGTGAATAGACACGGGGGATGAAGGTGTTGAAATTGATTGTTTCTCAGATGTTATTGCGGTGGCTTGGATGGAACTAGGGGATGATAATGTTGAAATATTTCGATCCCCAGAAGTTGTTATGGGAATTTTTTGAGTGGATGCAGGGGACGTTGTTGAAAAATTATGGTTCCCAAGAGAAGCTTTTTGGAAAGCAGCAGCAGATGATGTTCCAATAGATTGAATTACAGGAGTTGCTACAGTATTTTTTTTAGTAGAGACAGGGGATAATAATGAAGCAGGAACAGGTTGTTGGTTCTGAGAAATCTGTGGAGAGTTACTTTGAATAGATGTAGAAATTAATGAATTTGGTGTCATTTGATTTTCAGGGATTACTGAATATGCATCATGAATCGAAGGAGAGGTTGATGGTGTGGAGATAGACTCTCGAATCTTAGAGGTCGATGACAAAGTGTTTGGGATAGATGAGGCGATTGATAAATTTGAAATGGGGTGATTTTCAGAATTCGATAAAGAATCTTTTTGCATAATCTGTGTAGAGATCGACGAATTTAAAATATTAAGGGTCTGGTCATTGTTATTATTAGAAGTCGCGGTAGAATTAGATGAAGTAGCGGAGGAAACCGTCGGAATAGATGTTGCAGAATTCTCTTTAGCCTTTTTGAGTTTCTCTTTTAAGCTAATTATTTGTTGTAACTTTTTGATTTCCCGCTCTTTTTTCTCTAATTGAGTTTTCGCTTCGAGTTTTTCAATACTTGCTTTGACAGAAGACTCTTTTGTCTTTATGTTCAATGGATTTTTAACTGGTCCAGACTGCTTTTTGGAGCGTTGCTCGTTGTCAGATTCATCACTCAAATTTATAATATAACTTGTCCGTCTATTTGGTGCGAATTTTTTCTGATACGCTTCACTCTGTCGTATTGAAATAGGAGCAACAGTAATATTGTTTTTAGTAAAGGGAGTAGTCGACGTCGTTAACGGTGGGGTTATCGTCTCTAAGGCTGTAGAAACTGTAATCTTAGCATTTTTTGGATTAATGGGAGCAGCTTTTTTGTTAATCTGAGGGATTGATAAAGATACATTTGGTTCTTTATTAACTGCCAATGAGTGCGACGGGAGCGATGCAACATCGAGAGTAGGATTAGTATTGTTAATTATTGAGGTAGAATCCTTCTGCACGAGATTTTTATTGTTGCTTGTCGAACTGATTGCATTATTGATGGGAGAATTTAGGGGTTCATCTTTAAAATTTATTAATGTTGTCGGAGCTTGTGGTAGGGAACCATTAGGCGATTTCTCTATTACAGAGTTGGAAATGTTTGTTTCTTTAATACGGGAATCAATGGGCAGTTTATTAGTATGCAGAGGTTGTTGGATTAAGGAGTTCGTATCTCTCGATGATGAAAAAGATGATGACACTGGTGGTAGAAATTGAGTTGTGGATATTTCAATGCCAGTAGACTTTAGTGGCGTAGGATTAGGATATGGAAATTTGATTGGTTTATCGTTTTTTGGTGTTATTGGAACAAATTGCTCCAAGTTGTCGTGTGCATCTTCGAAAAGTCCTGTTGTTTGTTGTACTCCCGCTGCTGCTGCTCCCGAATTTTGACAATTATTTACAATAGGCGCTGCTTCTCGCTCTGATAATACCATATTTTTGTTGTGAGCCCCCAACGACGACATGTTTGACATGAATTGAGGTTGAGAATTTCTCCTCATTTTTATTTCCGGTCGCTCAGGACAGACATTTTGTAATAATGTAGTATTAACAGTAGTGGCACCACCACCATTACTGTTAATTGGAGCATTGTAAAAATATTGTCCATAATTATTTAAGCCATTTTCGTCTTTTAATCGAGAAGACGGCCCATAAGGGTCAAAGTCCATTATATTATGCTGCTGCTGCGATACTGGAGCTTTGATATTTCGAGATAGTGGTTCACTTGACGGTATATACGGAGGCAGATTATAATTTGTAGATGAAGATGACAATATTGTCGGAGGTATTAACGGCGGGACTTGGTGGTAATGTGATGGTGAAAACGACGAAAGGCCATTGTTGTGATTATTGTGTATATTATATATATCCACTCCTCCCATTGCAATATTGTTGTTTGGAGGTTCCATCATCGGCATCATAATTCCACCCATTCCGCCAGCACCTCTTGATCTTGAATCTTCAAATCGCTGCGAATAAGTCATGGACTCCAAGTATGGAGAAGTAGGCATATTTAGTTCCTGTGAGAATCTTAGTATAATGTCTAGTGGCACCCCTTCCCGAATCATGTCTTCGGCTGTACCACCCGCAGCGTATATCTGAGAGACTATCTGTCTGGTTATAGCGTCTAGCGAACCTCGATCTAGCGAGCCTCGATAATCAATATAATCTATTTTCAATTAGTAGGAAAAAACACGTTTTAGTGTCTTTATTGATAAATACAATTAATTAATTAGCAACTTATAATTTAGCAGCTGCTCATCTTCAATTAATATTTGAATAAAGATTCGTGCAAGAAAGTGAAAGGAATTATCAGATGCATACTAACCAAAGGAATTCAAGTCGTTATTACCTAGATACCTATCATCAAAAAAATTCAAAGTACTAGCGCCGGGATTATTATTTTGCAACTCAATCTTTCCCTGAACGAACCGAGTTCGAAACTCTTCTGTTGATGATTCCGTTTCCGATAACTCGCCTTCCTCACGTTCTGAACCAGTGTCATCTTGGGATAACGCCAACGACGTATCTTGTATGATCGTTGCGGGACTCTTTTCTCTTTCTATTTCTTTTTCTTGTGATGGTGGGTTATCATTATCAGTTTTCTGAATCTTTTCAATTTCCATTCCATTCTCATTATTATTTTCGTTTTCTCTCTCTCTCTCTTTCTCTTGTTCTCTCTCTTCTTCTATTTCTTCTTTCTCTTCCTCTTGTTCTCTCTCTTCCTCTATTTCTTCTTTCTCTTCCTCTTTCTCTTGTTCTTCCTCTATTTCCTTCTCTTGTTCTTGTTCTCTTTTATCAGTATCAATGTTATTGGCGGTAGTAGAGGCGGTATTGACAATGGAAATGTAATTGGCATTGGTAGTCATAGACGTAGTATTATTATTTGATTCTTTCTCTTTACCCTTCCTAGATTTCAAAGTTTGTAGGGCTGCTAGGCGTAGAGCCTGCAGGTCGGGTATTCCGGAAGGTGGTTGTGGTTGTTTGACTTCATTTTGTTCCATTAGATTTGTGAGATTTAGGACGGGTTACAAACCTAGACGTGTTAAAAACTAAATTTGGCTATAACGTTAATACGAGCCTAATCAGATAGCTACACATCAAAAATTTACCTAATTTCAAAAAATTCTTAGTATGGCGTCTTCGAATTTTTTAGCAAAATCGCGCGTCGAAATACTTTTATGTCAAAAGATATTACATAAAAAAGTTCATGCTTCATTTTATTTTATATCGCCAAGTATAAACTTGCAAAAAAGAAGTTATGTTTCAGTGACTTTGCCTGTCCACTTTGCTGCTGCGAAAGGCACGACGGGAAAGAAACCAGGTGTCAAAGCTGGCGGAAGAGGTATAAAATGTTTAATGAACGGACCAGATTATAATGAATACTGGTAGTGGTTGCCTACAATTTCCCGACCTTTTCCCCGATAACTGTGTAGCGGCACCGTCGAAAAAGAAAAGCGGTTTTAAACAAACTAAAAAAGCTGCTGTCCAGGTTCGGTAACGTTGTGTCGAATAAAAAAATTATGCACTTGTTTATCAATAATAATAAAATAGAAAGTCTTCTCTTTTGTTTTTAGGTCAAAAAAACAAATGTAGGGCCTGGTTTCGCTAAAGTTAATGAAAAGTATTATCAGCCTCTTCCGGTTGTTGATTTGGATGAAATGTATCCGGTAGTTTTCAAATCTAAATAATTTTGGATATTTGGTCAAATTTGTTGTCTTTGTCTCTATTTTTGATTATATGGAAATTCGGCAAAATAGGAAGTATTCCTTCGTGACAATGTGGGAAAAGTATATACTATGACTGACTCGGTACTATCAAAAATAAAAACCTTTAGATTGCCACCAGCATTAAACCACGAAGTTTGTAATATCTTCACGATTACCAGCTTTTTTCTTTTTCAATGTAAATATTTTATTATTTACATCATTATTTTTTTTTAGTTTGAATTTTTCTCTCGTCCATCTCTCGTGATAAGAGAGAGTTCAGTTAAATTGGTCGATCTTTTGGATGTATCGTCAAATTTACCAAGTTTACAGAATAGAATTATCTTATGCAAGTATCATAATATAATTTCTTTTATTATTTAGTTTTCAATTATAATAAACAAAGGATTGATTTTGTAATAGCTGGTGAATTGGGAACTGGCAAGAGTACATTACTTTTACAGGCAGTCTGCTATACATTGTCTTCTAATTGGATTGTAATTTATCTTTCTCACGGTAAGATTTTTTGAGTTTTAATAAATTTTTATAATTACCAGAGTTATACATGATGATTATTTTATTGTTAGCCATTAGTTATGTGAATAGTAGTAGTGCATATCAAAAAATCGAAGCAACTGGAGAATTTGTTCAGCCAGCTCTTGCACAAAAATTGTTGCAACAAATTAACTTTGTAAACAGATCAATTCTCCAAAATGTAGGGAATTAGTTGTATTTATATTATGTCATCTCGCATTATTAGCACTTATTTGAAGAATGTCTCATGTGAGGTTTGATCCCCAGATTAAATTAAAGCAAAGCCATCAAATTCAGCGACACATTGTGAAACAAGATTCACCAATCACGCAATTAATCGAATATGGCGTTAGAGAAGAAAGTGTTGCTTTCGACGTTCTAACTAAATTCTTTGCGGAAATTGAACAGAATGACACGTAATTTTAATTTACTTTTATGATTTTGGTTTTTAATTTTCGGCTTTAATAAATTTTACTTTTTTATTATAGCTATCCAATACTGCTTGCGATTGATGAAATAAATGCATTTTACACTCGAACAAAATATCGTAATGTTGATTTTTCTTTTCTCGATGCAGATCGATTTTCTCTAATTAAAATATTTTTGGAGCTCTTTGGCGGTCAACGACATTTTGTATGTTTTTTTCTTATCATTATTATATATGATGAAACACATTAATAAATTGTATGCGATTTAAAATTGTTATGCAGAAACGTGGTGCTATCATCGGAGCGATTTCGAATGCATTTCCACCAGTTCAGAGTAAAATTTTAGACTTCTCTTTGCGTCTGGATGAACCGTCGCCTTGGATTCCATATTCTCAGAGTCTTTTATCATATGCTAAAGGACTACAGCGATTTGACGTAGCGGGGTATTCTAAAGATGAAGCAAGAGCAGTTTTTGATTTTTATTCAAAGTCTTCGCTGTTTTACCAAGGTAAATAAATAAAGGACACTATTCTTTTTGGGATTTTTGCAATTGGACTTTGTTAATTTATCATGTGTGTATAGAACCTACAGATCGATATTTTGCTAAAAAGTATATTACAAGTGATGGAAATGCGCGAAAGTTTTATTTGGATTGTATATCAGTCTTTCAGTGAGATCAATTCAATACAAGTCTCGACATAATATATTTAATTTGAACGGAAATTTTTGGTGAAGGTATTAATTGTATATTACAATTTCTGCCAAATGATGTATACTGTATATAACTTATTTTGTTATAATTGCATTACAAAAATAATTACATATACAATTTGATATTAGCAAAAATGAAATTCTTCAAACTCTAATATTGTACTAAAACTTTTTCTTTTTCATAATAATCATAATTTTTGGTTTGATATAAAATAACATGTAAATTTTATCAGTGAATTATTTTTTTCAAAGTTTGATATTGTCACCAATTCAATATTGACAATAATTTAATATAAGAACACGTGAACAAAAGACACAGTTATGATAAAAATTAGTCATAATGATATTTGGATTACGTAGTTAGTTCAATAATATTCTACTTCTTTCTATTTCTTTCTATTTTCTTCTTTTTCTTTCTTGTATTATTTATCTTTCTATATTTATCTTATTGTTATCTTTATTTGAATATATTAATCACACCATTTTCTTGGCAAATTTCATCATTTTCTATATTAATTTAGCTTCTATTTTTTATTTTTTTGCTATTGGTACTTAGATATAGAACAAGATTATTAATTATGATGTAATTAAATTTCATGTAATTTAGAAAAGAACCAATAATTTCATAATATTAGCATAGATCTATTGTGCCACATGCTGCGCTGCGACTGTATTATGCTGCATCATACTACACATTACTGTGCCACTATAACACAAAAATATATATAAATACAAGTGCTGATAATTAATAAAAATCAAGTTCTCTAGTTCTAGTTTTGAGTTCTTAAGTTTTGATTTCGAGTTTTTTTTGGTTTAATATCGAGTTTGACATATTAAATTGATTTATTTTTGGAATTTTAAGTAATTTTTGGTTAAGTTTACCTTTTAGTTTAGTTTTGTTATTAGTTTAGTCTTTTTTTTCATCATCTTTTATCTTGTTAAGAAACATCATTTTATTATCATAAATACCTTTCAGTTAAAAAGTCTAAAGTAAATTGTTGTAAACACAGTCACTATTGTCATTTTGAAATACTTTCATACGCAAAAGCTCAAAATAGTAACAATATTGAGAAATATTAAAAATCAATTATATTTGATTAGAAAGAACTTGTTAAAATTAAAAAAAGAAAACTCACTTATTGTAATTATAAAATCAAGTATAAAGAAAATTTTCAAACAAGCTTTAATATATTGCATATTAAACCTAATTTTTGGTTCAATAGTATATAAGTTTTGTCAAATAAATTATTTCTTTTTGAAGTTTGATATTAACGCCAGTAAAAATTGCATTTTTTTAATTTTTTAAAATATTATTATTATTTTATATGATTTTGAGCTTTGTTATAAAAAAATATGTGTAATTGAATCAGATAAGAATTGATGTAAAATAACTTTTGAAGTGAAAAAGAATATTAAATTACTAAAGGTAGAATATATGTTTATTTTATGATCAGCTAGAATGAAACCAGAAATATTTAAAAATAAAATTAATTTATAAATAAATAAAAATATGTTACAAGTTTATTTACTAATAATTAAATTAGCTTATAAACTTGAAACTGGATTAAAAAAGAAAATTAAATAATAAATAAAATATTAGAGATATTAAAGTTCTATATTAATTTTACTGAAATTATAATAATTTAAAGTTATGAAAGTTATGAAAAAATAAAGATTGAAGAAAGAATAAGAAATACAAAATAATAAGAAGATAATTATTAAAAAGAATTTGAAATACTAATTTTTTGTATTTGTATTGTTATGATATGAATTTTTAGTATATTAATTATCTTATTATTTATTAAATAATTCATATCATAATATTATTGGATAATATTTATTAATATCTTATTGGACACTAGCTAAAAGAGATCTTATTTGTTAATATTAGATGATAGAACAAGCAATATGATCATAGCAAAGTTAGCAAAATGATCTGAGCTAAACTAGTAATTGGATTCAAGCTAAATCAACAATCTGATTATAGCAAAAATAGCAATATAATACTAGCAAAGTAAGCAATTAAATCTTAGTAAAAGTAGCAATAGTATTATAATAAAAGTAACTTTCATAGAACCATCAAATATCATAAAAACAATATAACTTAGTTAGTGATTGAAAAGTAAGTTAGAATACTTTAATAAAAATAACTTGTTAAATTATATTAAATATTGATTTTGATCTTGAAAAATAGATTACTATTAAATAATCAATTGTTATATTTGACTTGAAAGATAATCACTAGAAAGACTTATTATTTTGAATTATTACCTTTAAATTATAAAAAAACTTAGTAAAGTTTAAGTGAAGTTATTGGATATCATTCTAGCTAATCACAACAAGAACACATGTTACCTACCTTTAGTAATAGTTTTTAGTCTCTCCCATCATAAAACTTAATCTCTTTCACTTTTTAATTAGTAAAAACACATGATTAACACGTCAAAAACTTAAAGTATATAAAAATAATAACAGATTTTGATGATCTTTCTATAAAAAAGATAACTTCATATTGTCAAAATCCTATTGCATCAAAAAAAATTAGACTTGAATTAAGAATTCTCTGTAAAAGAACAAATCAAAACAAAATATCAATAAACAAATCTTTTTTAATCTGAATCCCACAAAATCAACTAATATTAAAGTTAAAAAATTATTTCAAGAGATAGTTACTGGAATATTAACAGCAAAATAATATTCTAATAAAGATCTCAAATTTAGTTTTAATAACTTCAAAGCATTTTATAGAGAAATAATTCATGAAAATATATTAACTACAGCAAGAGAAGTATTTGTAAAATTATTAGAAACAGAAACTGAATTATCTGGATCAGAAGTTCAACTTTTTTACATCAAATTCAACAAAATATCAACCAATTTCATTAACAAAGAGAAGGATACTTGAGAAAGATAGAACAACAAAGAAAAATAATAATAGTGTTGTATAATGATCTTTCGTCATAATATTTTATTGGATTATAAATATCTCATATATTATTGGATAAAGATTATATCACGTGAAGCGAGCG